ATTCCTGCTTTTTGAGCTCACCAGTCATGTCAGCTGCCCTCCCTGAACCGACTTCCCTCATTCCTCGAGCCAGAAAATGCTGTGACACTCACACCCGGCTAATGGAAAGCACAGAGTACTAAAATACTGATGGATGTTGCCAGAGCTCCCTCGCCATCTTCTAAGTGGGGAGGAAGAATTACTTTCAAATGCACACGTGCATCAACACACACTAAAGAGAAGGCAGGTCAGGACGGAGAACTGGGGAAGAACAGAGAATGTCACTGACACAGTTAGTGTCCCCTGACACGGTTCTCGGTACTTCACACCAGTTAATCCTCAAGACAACCCTAGGAAGGAGCTGCAGGGCATGGAGGGGTGAAGGGCCTTGCCCAAAGCCACAGAGCTAGTGAGTATCAATGTCAGGATCTGAACTCAGATGGTCTGACTCAGAGTCTGCACCCCTAGCTACCCGGCCAGCATTGTTCAAACTTTAGCTGCATTGGAATCATCCGGTAGAGTGGTCAAAACAAAGATCTTTTGGCTCCATCTGAAGCGTTTCTGACTGCACGTCTCGGGTGGTGCCTGGGAATTTATATGTCTGACATGTTCCTAGGAGATGCTGATGCTAGTGGCCTAGAGAACACACTTTGAGAACCACTGCATTAGGTCAATTTGCTCTCTGTGCGGAGACAGGAAGTCTCAATCTGTGAAAATTAAACTCTGGGTAGGGCTGCCAAATAAAATACAGATGCTTGGTGAAATTGGAATAATTTGAATACGTTATTTAGATAAAAATGAATCTTTTTTTAGTATAAGTGTGTCTGTCTCATGTAATATTTGGCAACACGACCTCCAGATTATCTGAGCTACCTGGGCCAGAAAAACCAGAAAGCCAGAGTTCATAAGACATCTCATTTTAGTCACATATTGCTAAGTCTCCCACCTGAACCAAACTCGTTATCACTCTTAAAAGATGAAAAAAATGCAGTTTAATTCTCTCCACCCTACCAAGCAGTAGAATTTACTACAAGGCTGGCAGCCAGAGGGAAAAAGCAGCAGCAATTGGAGAATTCAGGTTCCAGCTGTATTTTTTATTTAGTTCTACTCCTGCCCTCACCTGCTGAAAACAGCTCACCCCCGCCTTCAGTTCAGAGAGAATAACGTGAAGCAATATCATCACTACTGATTTCCTAAGCCTCAAGAAGGGCCACACTTACTATCCGAGGCTCAGAGCAAATCAAACATTATTTTGGGAAACACACTTGACATTACAGTTTTGGTTCAGTTCAGTATTATGAAAAATTGGCTCTAGTTCACACTGGCTTTCCTCTTAAAGAAAAAAACCTTTCTAATTTTAAGGAAAACGCAGGTTAATATTGGGTTTACCGCTCGGCCAATTACTGCTGTTTGTCCAGGCTTCTGGTTCACGTTTCTGCTTGCTCTTGCCCACTTACTCAGTACTTGGGGACGACATGAATGTCTGCAGAGGAGCCGGTCCTGTTACTGGGACCTCCAACTTAACAGAGGGACGCTCTCGCTCTGTCTCCGGAGCCACAGGGTGCACTGACTGCTGCATCAGCCACGGAAGTAGCTTCTGTCCTAAAGACAGTTAGCACCAAACCCCACAGCTGGGCTGAGCCTGAGAGCGTGGGCTGCTTCCCCTCCGCAGTCAGTTAGGAGCGAGCCGCCAGAAGCACAAGGCTCCGCCAGAGCCGGCGATCAGGACCCTGGCATCCAGTCTAGTAAACGTCAGGGGGCACTGGCTTCATCAGGCCGGGCAGGGCCTCCCGCTGGGATGGATGGAGCTCTGGCTGAAGGTGCGCTCAGCCCCTCCTGCGGCGAAGCCCCAGCTCTGGGTGGGTGGACAGATGGCTGCATGGACGGAGGGCAGAGCATACTCACGGGGAGGTCTGCGTAGAAGTAGTGCTTCCGGTCAAACAAGGACCTCCTGTTGATGTGACAGTCCAGGGCCAGGCCGGCCATCACGGCTGCCTCCACACACCGCCTGTTGAGGACCTGCGGGGACAGGACACGCGGCTCCGCTCAGACCCACCTTCTGAACAAACGCTCCTCCACCTGCGGACATCCTCCCTGAATCTGGCCATCCGGCCCTTCGAGGGGCATCAGCTCTGGTTCTGTGTGGACAGCTCGGCTTACAAGCCGACTCAGTGTATCTGGAGTCAGGGCTAGTTTATATAAAAAAGATGCGTGCGGTGGTGGGTCCCACTGGGCACCTAGTAACTGCCACATCGGGGGTCCTTCCCCACTACCCATACCTGACACGACATCAAAGTTAACAGGGAAGGTCCCAGAAAAGCTCAGCAGAGTGGTTACTACAGGAAATAAACTTAATGTCACTGCCTCTGCTAGAAGAACACGGAGCCACTCAGAACACACAGGAGGCACTGATCCCTGAGAGGAGGGTTTGAGAAGCAGCTCTCCAAACAACCTCGGTGAGGTTGGGAGACACTGTGACACAGAAAGAATGAACTTCTGGAAACAACAGGACTGCAGCCATCTCCTCAAGGGCTGGGAAATGCCGCACTCCTGCCTCCTACTCTCGGTCCAGGCCTGGCCGACTCCCTAGAAGTGGAGGCTGAGCGTGCCCCCCGCTCACCTCTCCAGGCTGCTGGTCCCTCCAGGGCTCCTGGGGCTCCTGAGCTCCTTCTGGATCCCACCCTGTCCTGCTTTCAGGAGCAAAAGACCAAGAAAGGGCTGGCCAACTTTCTGGCCCCAAGGGACATAAACAGCTCTTAGCACTTTGGCGGGGTGGGTAGGTGGCTGGAATGAGGTAGACAACTAGAGATGAGAAGAACGAGCATTCAGCTCTGGAGTCAGGTCCAGACCCCACTTCCACTGTGTAGATGTACAGCTGTGGGGCTGGAAGCCTCAGTTTCCTCACCTCTGAGAGAGGGGTCAATGTCTACCTTGCAGAGGGGACAAAGTCACAGCTGGCAAATCTACTCCACAGCAG